AAAAATTACAATCTTCTTATACATTATCTCTCTTTCTCTCAGTCTCCATCTTACTGTCTGTCTTCATCGTTTAGATCACGTCTTTCTATCTATCCATCCATCCATCTATCTATCCATCCATCCATCCATCCATCCACCTATCTATCCATCTATTTATACATCCATCCAACTATCCATCTATTTATACATCCATCCATCCACCCATCCATCTATCCATCTATTTATACATCCATCCATATATCCATCCATCCATCCATCCATATATCTATCGGGGGCTGTAATTCATTGTAAGTATAAATCACAATTATACTTGAAGTAGCGGATAAGTCCAGCCATTTCCAAAAGCTCAATATCGCCCTACTCCAGACCGGATTATTGCTGTAACATTCGGCCAAAATTCATGAGGTTGGGGGCGGGGTTGAGTTATTTCCGTTCGCGGTCCTCTCTTTCCCTCATCGCCACATCGATCTGGGGGTGTTACATTTCCAACAATCGCTCCAAACGCCACAGAATCAGATAATATGGTCGCTTTTTAAGGACAAGCGGGCTGACCCAGATTTCGGGCTTTTCCAGAAATCTTGATCTACCCCAAAAGTGGGCTTTGCCCTACCTATAGGAGAAGTTTGGTTTCATTGGTGTGTATATTTGTTTGGTTATAGAGAAAACTCTCATTGTCTTTTAAAGGAACTGAACAAGGAGCTAAAACTTTACCTTCGATTTTCTCAAAACAGCATTCTTCGGGATAGTCCCCTTGTGCTTAAAAGTGACCATATCATTATGGGTGGTACTATAGGCAGGGGTTGTGGGTGTGGCTATGTCCGAGAGTCTTTGGAATAATGGACCGCCGCGTTTCAGATTGAAGAAACGGCGATTTGTTACGGTCTTCTTCTTCTTTTTCTTCTTCTTCATAATCTTCTTCTTCTTCTTCTCCTTTTCCTTCTTCTTCTTCTTCTTCTTCATTATCATCTTCTTCCCCTTCTCCTCCTTCTTCTGTCCTCTCCCTCCACCCTTTTCTCCTCCTCCTCCCCTTCCTTCTCCCCTTCCTCCTCCTCCTCCTCCCCTTCCTCCTCCTCCTCCCCTTCCTCCTCCTCTTCCTCCTGCCCCACCTCCTCCTCAAACACACAGACTAACCCAAGGAAAGATGCCTCTCAGAGGCAATACGTCCAAATACTTCCATGAGAAAGTGTTCTCGAAAGCAACTCTCTGTCACTCT